TTGAATCACCTTCCTTGATGGTGGGATCACTATTTCCCCAGTTCTCAGCAAACTGATTGGCAGCTTCCACCTTCTAATTTAGAAATACCTTCAGAAAAGATTCAAAGGTGCACATGTTTCAAGAATACAGGCAGTCACATTTCTTGCTTGCCATGTTGTCCAGGAGAAAGCAAACAGCTAGAGGGGAAAAAAATGTAGGAAAACAAGTTGTGGACATAAATTGCCTGAGTTGTCGATCACATTACAAAAGAGCATCATTCAAGCAGGAACTGCCCCTAGTCTAGCGAGAAATGCAAGGTTGTCACGGAAACAGCAGCATTTTCCTTAGAGAAAACAAGGAAATGTCTTGACAACAAGCAAAGCATAATTAAAAAAGCTTAAACAACATTAAAATTATAAATGTCCCACTAAAGCTCTTAGGCTTTAATTCCAAAACAAGCCAGTAACAAACAAATAGCAGTTGAACAATAATAATACTCAAGAATTCCTAGCATTCTTCCTACTCTGGTTGTGAGTGACGGATTTTAGACTAACTCAGAATCTTGAGAAACATTGTCCTGAGCAAAAACAAATCACGGTAAACCTCAGAATACCTAAATGCCTCAAACTAATTGTGCTTTGGGGACAAAAGCAGTAGAAAGAGAAAGTTTTAAGAAAAGTTTTAAGGACAGGCTTTAAAAGTTGAAAATAATTAGGTGATTTAGTACTATTTTGTAGAGATTAAATAGCAACCAAGACTTCTCAAAATTAAATTCTGTGAGTGAAATGGGGGGGGGGAAGTGAACCGAAATGTGATAAATAAATAAAATCAAATCTCACATTTATCATTGTCATACTTAATAATTGTTTTATGAATGACCACTATCTTTAGGCCTCACCCTAGCCTGTGCTTCCTGCACTTCAACTTTTATTGATTTCAAAATAACTGTTAAAAGTTTGTAGCTCCACAAGGTATTTTTTTTTTGTTTCATTCTTTCACTTCTAAAATGCAGCATTATTCCTTGAAAGTGATAGCCAGAAGGGCCAAAAAACAAAGCACTCTTCTGTACAATTTTCAGCTTGTAAAATTTAGTCAACTCACAGCCACAACGGGCAGCAGTAATTTTAAGAAGGGTACAAAAATAACAATAATCATGAAATAAGGACTCAGCTCTTACCTGGAAGGAATCAGCTCTGCTTATTCTGCTAAAGAGTACATTATGAACCATCCTGTGAAAATCAGGATGAAAATCAGAGAAACAATTTAGAGGATAGAATCGATACTTGGCATTATTTTAATTAACAACCAGAGGGCACTTGATCCTGTCTTCAGTCAATTTAGAAGACATTATATGGTGATGAAGTGGGATTTTATGATATTATTTGTTCATTTCCACCTGTTTATCTCTCATAGAAGATTTATTTAAAGGACGATGGAAGCACGTTTGCTGGATTCTAATACTGCTACCAGGCACCGAGAATCCCTACATGGGTGGCATGAACACCTCAGGATCAGAAGAAAGTTTTCCATTTATCTTAAGCCCAGGCCATCTTAAGCTTATTTAAACCTCCTAAATGAAAGCATTGATAAATGGAAGAAGATAGTTAGATTCATCACGGGTCCCAAATTGCTTCTGCAGTTTCCATTCATTAAAATTGCTTTTAATTTCTCTCTGCACACCTCCCACACCCTGAAAAATTATACTCACTGGTGAAGTACAGGGTTTTTACACTTCTTTTCATTATGAGGGATCCAAATCATACCTTATTCTGTATTATTATTTCTCCAGTAATCAATAATCTTCCTAGCTGCACACCCTTCCATTAAACCTCAAAGGAATCCTCTTCGGAATGTTTCCAGATCAAAATGCCTCAATTTGTGACTTCTTGTTTTATTGTTGGACCATATCTAAATGTACCATTTGTGACCCAGGAGTAAAGATGGCAGGCTCCTTATCTTGACCATCTACATGGGCAATGGGAAGGGACGATATAAATACAGCAAAAAGCTTTTGCATGGTGGAAATAGGAGTCCTAATTTCATTTGTCAAGAACAAACTATTTAGCTAGATCGTTTACTAAATGTTTTGTTAAGAACCATTCACTGCAAATTTCTCCATTAATAAGATAGGCAGAAGTGAGGTGGGCAAAATTCAAATGGAAAGGAAGCAAAATTGACCATTTGAATTTCCTAACTCCAGCTGGTTGTCTTTCCTATCTGGATTACCTGGGAATGTTAACATCAATCTTGCAAATCTGAAAGTACCAGCCTCCTGCTTCTCTTTTACCAAGCAATAAGTTAAGGAGGTTCCTTTCTGAGTTTCTTTCACTACCCATTATGCAGCTGAAGGATATACTGACTCTTATCTGATGGTTCTGTAGGCAGCATTTCTTCCCCTAGCCTTGTGATGGCGTACATATTGCACGTGGAACATATGTGCCCGAAGTGGCACGTGGAGCCATGTTGCCTTGCACATGTGGTGTCACCCGTTCCTCTTCCTGGTTTCTGCCATGCACGCGCATGTGACGATCTGGCCTCTGTGCATGCAGCAGTGCCGGAAACTAGAAGAGCTGGTCTTCCGTTTTCTGGCATGAGCATGTGCACTGGCCAGCTGATTGGCCAGTGCGCATGCACAGCAGTAACGGAAGACTTGCTGCCTGGAGTGCATGTGCGTGCCACAAACCGGAAATACCTTAACCCCTGGGCAGCTCCTCTTCCTGGTTGCAGCTCTGATGAACACACGAAGTGCTCCCTTTTCGGCACTTGGTGCCAAAAAGGTTCACCATCACTGCCCTAGCCCCATCTCTCAAGGTTATTCCCACAGACAATATTTCTTCTTCTTCTGTGTCTAGATCAAACTTTAAACTGCCAGAATGAAGCCACCTTTTTGCTTTGTCATTGGCCAAAAATAAGTCATTATCGGTACATGTTTCTGGTAGCAGCCTGGGATTATAGTACTGTGATGGACAATGATCTAATTCGAGTGGGTTTATATGGCACACATTTTCTCCATACCAAAGCGGTACTTTGCTGCATCTTAAGACAACTCTTCTTGTACCTTCTGCCCCCTTCTCAAGCTCCCTATCCTTCCATACTGCTGTATTTAATGATTTGAAGGATGTGCTATGCAGAAGAATTCTCCTGCATATGTTTTGTAGGCTGTTCTTATTCAATTTTCTGAAAGGGAATTTGCTTTTGAAGTTTATTAAAAGGAAAGAGGGCATTTCAGTGAAACTCGTAAAAGTGGAGTTCAATGCTGTTATATTTGTTTAGTTATGATGTGACTGAGAGATGAGTGTGGAAGTCCTATCCTTCACTGATTAACCACCTCTGACTTCCCTCACTTCTATTAAAAGTGAAAATAATGTGTGGCAACTCTTCCCAGGGGGAAAATAATGTGTGGTAATTCTTCCCAGGTTTTTTTTCAAGGTTGAGAGGGATGAGCAGCTGAAAGAATATGGGGTGATGAATAAAGAAAGAAATAGCTATTTTTTTATAGATTCAAACGTGGCTAAGGGAAATTCTCAAAGAGGCGCCGGGTCTGCGTCCGGGAGCCCCGGGAAGAAACCAGGCAGGGAGGAAGGTAGTTTACAGGTAGTCCTCGACTTACGACCACCGTTCAGCCCGAAATTTCCGTTGCTAAGCGAGACAGTTGCGAAGTGAGTTGTGCCCCGTTTTATGACGTTGCTCGCCATGAAAAGGAAGTTGTGAATTTAGGGACACTTAGGTCGTTAAAGTGAATCTGGTTTCCCCACTGACCTTGCTTGTCAGGAGTTCGCAAGAAGGGATCACGTGACCCCGGGACGCTGCGACCGTCATAAATGTGAGTCATCTATTGCCAAGTATTTGAATTTTGATCATGTGACCACAGGAACGCTGCATACGGTCGTAAGTGTGAACAATGGTCCTACGGCACTTTTTTCAGTGTCACCACTCTGAACGGTCGCTAAATGGAACCGTTGTAAGTCGAAGACTACTTGTAATTGCTGTTTTTGCACAACCGTCATAAAATGCTGTTACGTGATTTCCGGGGGGGGGAGGGGAACCATCAAAATTTAAGGCCCTAAGTAGCCCCCAGCTTTGATCCTCTCATCTGCCAAAATGTCATTTTGGGCCCCACTGGTTGGACTACACCTCCCATGAGCCCTGTGAGCTGGAATGAGGGGAGTTCTAGTTTCCCGCACCCAAGGAGACCCCAGGAGGATGTCTTCCCATACCGGTTCTCAACTAAGGAGGTTCAATCAATCAATCCAAAAAGAGCTGGAAGGGAGGGACCTTGGAGGTCCTCTAGTCCAACCCCCTGCTCAAGCAAGGGACTCTCTACCATTCCAGACAAATGGCTCTCTGGTCTCTTAAAACCTCCAGTGATGGAGCACCCGCAACTTCTGGTGGCAAGGAGTTCCACTGGTTAATTGTCCTCCCTGTTAGGAATTTTCTCCTTAATTCCAAGTTGCTTCTCTCCTTGATGAGCTTCCATCCGTTGCTTCTTCTCCTGCCTTCAGGGGCTTTGGAGAATAGCTTCACTCCCTCTTCTTTGGGGCAGCCCCTCAAATACTGGAAGACTGCTATCATGTCACCGAAGGCCTGGTTTTCTGATAGTTTTAACCCGTTCAGGGCTAGACAGAATAATGGAAGGGAGGGACCTGGGAGGTCTTCTAGTCCAACCCCCTGCTCAGGCAGGAGACGCTGTACCATTTCAGACAAAATCCAGTCTCTTCTTAAAAACCTCCATCGATAAAGCACCTACAACTTCTGGTGGCAAGGAGTTCCACTGGTTAATTGTATAGCTTCTCCTACTTGAGCAGGGGGCTGGACTAGAGGACCTCCAAGGTCCCTTCCAGCTCATTCTATTCTAATTGTCCTCACTGTCAGGAAACTCCTCCTTCGTTCTAGGTTGCTTCTCTCCTTGACGAGTTTCCATCGTTTCTTGTCCTGCCTTCAGGTGCTTTGGAGAATAGGTGGACCCCCCCTCCCCTCTTTTGGAGGACTGCTCCCATGTCCTCCCCACCCCCCACCCCAGTCCTTCTTTTCTCTAGACTAGGCAAACCCACTTCCTGCGACCTTCAAATGTTTCAGTCTGGAGGATCCTGGGATCTACTCACGCTGGAACTGTGGATCTTCATTTTGAACTTTTCAAAGTAGAGCCACTCGCGGGCCTCCTCGGGATCCAGATCGTGGTAATAGTCCCTGGCCGTGTAGCCAAAGCTGTGGAAGCTGCCTTCCGGCGTCAAGAGAAGGCTGGTTGGGGTCTTCTGGTGGGCCACTCCAGGATCTCCTCCTTCCCATTTCCTGCCGGGGAAAATCCAAAGTGGAATTAATTCTCCCCCCCTCCCGGACAGGAAGGCCCCGGACGTCCATGGGATGGGCTGCCCTGTTCTGCAACGGGAAACCATCTGTCTGAATTTTGCAGTGAGCTGAAGTTTGTCTGGTACCCAAAGAAATTTTCACCGTTTAAAACCAGACCCGTAGCTGTGTCGGGACATTCCTTCTCTGGCAATTCCTCTGGCATGGATACAGCACTCGACAAGCCACTTCTCATAGGATCATAGACCTTGGTGGCGCAGCAGACTAAAGTGCTGTTAAGTAGCACCAGCTGCCTGCAATTACTGCGAGTTCGAATCTCCCCAGGCTCAAGGTTGACTCAGCCTTCCATCCTTCCGAGGTAGGTAAAATGAGGACCCGGATTGTGGGGGCAATAAGCTGACTTTGTATAAAAAAAGAACACCGCTTAGGAAGGGGGGGCGAAAGCCCTACTAAGCAGGTATATACAAAAGGATGAAGGCTATTGCTTAACGCATTGTAAGCTGCCCTGAGTCTCCGGAGAAGGGCGGCGTATAAATCGAACCAATAAATAGACGTTTCATGACCCTTGATAATGTCATCAGTGCTAGAAGTTGGAGGGGGAGGAGGGGAAGGAGGGGGAGGAGGGAGGAAGAGGAGGACTATGAGGGAAGAAGCTGTGCCCATCCCAAAGCCTGGAGGAAGATTGCAAGGGGTCTCCCCTGACTGATCTCGGAAGGAAAAGGCTGATCTAATAGAGGAGAATATTTGGAGCTCAGGGTTGAAATGAGGGTCTTTGGGGCTCCCTGAGCTTGGTAGTTTTCTTGCAGACGTTTCACGACCCAGCTAGGTAATATCCTCAGTGCACTGATGGCTAATGAAAGGCCTGCAAGCTCCGAGAGCCCCAAGGACCCTCATTTCAACCCTGAGCTCCAAATCTTCTCCTCCATGAGATCAGCCTTCTCCTTCCTTGCAATCTCCCGCCAGGCTTTGGGAGGGGAAAACGGCTCCTTCTGGCCACGGGGGTCCACCAGGGCAGGAAGAGGCTCTTCCTTGGCCTCACCTTTTGGGGATGGAAGCCCATGAAATCCAGAATGAAGAGAGAGAACACTCCCACTGCCACGTCCTTGTTTAGAACACAGAACAGAGATCAAGAGGGATGGGAGGGGCCTTGGAGGTCTTCTAGTCCAACCCCCTGCTCAGGCAGGAGACCCTCTACCATTCCAGACAAATGGCTGCCCAGTCTCTTCTTGAAAGCCTCCAGGGATGGAGCCCCCACAACTTCTGGAGGCAAGTAGTTCCACCGGTTAATAGTTCTGTCCAGAAATTTCTCCTTATTTCCAAGTCAGAGTTTTTTTGTTTTTTTGTTTTATTTATATGCCGCCCTTCTCCGGAGACTCAGGGCGGCTTACAATGTGCTCAGCAATAGCCTTCATCCTTTTGTATATATTTATACAAAGTCAGCTTATTGCCCCCACAAACTGGGTCCTCAATTTACCTACCTTAGAAAGGATGGAAGGCTGAGTCAACCTTGAGCCTGGCGAGATTCGAACCTGCAGTAATTGCAGGCAGCTGGTCTTAATAACCAGCTTAATAACAGGGTGCCTTAGACCACTGTACTACCAAGTTCCCTCTGATGTTTCTTATCCTTCCCTCTGGTGCTATTTTTTCCCCCCCTATAAGATCATCTTAGCCTTTTTATGTTCACAAAAGCTTTGTCAGACATTACAGACCATGAAGATCCAATTATGCCGATTCATTGCTAAAAGCCTCTGCCCAGGAATCTCCTCGAGGCTGCTCGGAATTAGAGAAAGGTCCACAGAATTCAAGGGACTTAATTCCCTTTTAGCTACATAAGGATTCTAGACAAAACCGTGTTGTCCTCCAGAAATAATCTAAAGCCCATACTCCAAAATCCCAAGGAGGCAGGGAGATGGTGATACTGGTGCAACCTCTTGCAAACACCTGGGCAGGTGAGTTCCCTTCCTTGGCACAGTCCTTCCGCCTGAAGAGAGGCTCATGAAAAACAAATATCCTCTGTTCATTCATGCGTGGAATATCCAGAGACATTTGCCAAGGATTGGGGAGGAGATCTGAAGAATAAATGTGTGTCTGTGTTTTGTGGGGGAGAGAGAGGGGGGGGGAGGAGGGAAAGAGGGGGAGAGAGAGAGAGACAGAGAGAGAAAGAAACAGAGAGTGAGAAAGAGGGACAGAGAGAGAAAAAGAGTGAGAAAGAGATACAGAATGAAAGAGGCAAAGAGAAAGAGAAGAAAGAAAATAGAGAGAGAAAGAGAGAAAGAAAAAAGAGAAGAAAGAGAGAGAAAGAGAGAGAGACAGAAAGATGGAAAAGAGAGAGAGAGAGAAAGAAAAAGAAAGAGAGAGAAAAAAAGAGGCAAAGAGAAAGAAAAAAGAGAAAAAAGAGAGAGAAAAGAAGAGACAGAGAGCGAGAAAGAAAGCAAGAAAGAGAAACAGAGAGAAAGAAAGAGAGAGAAAAAGAGAAAGAGGGAAAGAGGGAAAAAGGGAAGAGAGAGAGCGAAAGAGTGAAAGAAAGAGACAGAGAAAAGAAAAGAGACAGAGAAAAAGAGAGAAAAAAAAAGAGAAACAGAGAAGAGAGAGAGAGAGAGAAAGAGGAGAAAAGAGCGAAAGAGAGAGATTTAGATCCAGCATTCAATCCCAGAGGGTACCTCATCATGTGGAGGGTCTCAGGGTCGCTGACGAAGCTGAAGGCGTAGCCGCTGGAAGTGGTCCCAAAGTCGATGGCCACCACCACCCCAAAAGGAGCTGCCTCTCGCCTCCGGATGTCATTCCTCTGCAAAACACACACGCCAGGATGCCGGAGGTCCCACATGCTCCAATCTGGGCTCCAGAACACTAACCTTGAACCATTTAAGATTTGTGGACTTCAATTCCCAGAATTCCCCAGCCAGAACCAGTCCGGCAAGCCGACCTATCACCTATTTGGGGGGGGGTGTTGATCAGATTGGGGGAGGGGAGAAGCTTCTGCTTACCGGTGACTGAGATGGGGTGAGGGGCGCGATGTTGCAGCTGTCGCTGTGGAGCCCAGGAGAACCCGGTGGAGACGGGGTCCGGGACCGCTCCCCATTTGTCCCTGGAGAAGAAGAGAAGGAAAGATGGATGCTTAAAAACAGCCCTTCCCGTAGGAGTGTTGGAAGGAAAATCCATCTGGTTCAGTTCCAAGCTGGGAGAAAAGACGCTGGAAACAACATGGAAGTTGGAGGCTGATTGGAAAGAAGGTCCATTTATTGGTGAACAGAACCACCAAAAGCATGTAGTTCTGGGGCAGCTGACAAAATGGTTGAATGCGTGGATGGATCTTTATAAATTTTGGTGACTTTCAAATTTGACATGTTCTGGGTGATGCAATGAAGGGGCGTATGTTCTTATATATATATAATAAAATTAATTTTATTAATTTTCTATTGTTTACATTTGATAGTGCTTAATAAGCATCATGTTGTCTGGATACTTAATTTGCTTAACAATACAGATTACATTCTTAATCTCCACCTCTTTTTTCCAACCACTGATAGAATAAGTTCCATGTTTGATAATATTCCGTGTCTTCTTTCTGCTTACTCTTTAATCAATGTGAGTCTGTCCATTTCTGCACAATCCAGTATCTTCCTAATTATCTTTTCGTCTCGTGGTGTTTCTTCATTTTTCCAATATTTGGGCCTTGTGTTGTGAAAAGGGTGTCGGGCAATTCCTAATGTGGCCAATGGCTTTCATCCTGTGTTGGATCTTGGGTGAGGGGCTGCTTGTTCTAATCCTACCCCTCTGCCTTTGTTAGCTGTCAAACTTGGCTGCAAGGAGTTTGGAAAGATCCTGCCTTGAGCGGGCTTCAATTAATTCATCCTCAGCTTTAGTCCAAAACAAATTCTTCGGCCTTATCACCAACCTTTGATGTCTTTGGCAACCTGCCAAAGGCAAAAACCCCACGAAGTTCAAGAGACGCTGACAAGGAGCACTGGAATCAATATTGCTTTTCTACAAAGGCTCTTTTAAGCCTTATGGGAGGGGCCAATCATCTCCTGGCCTTACTCCCGAGTCATCCTTTTTGCTTCAGCTGCTCTTGCCTTCTGGCAGCTCTACGTATGCGGGCACGAGGAACAGGCTCCTCCTGTTCCTCAGCCTCTCTGCTGTCAGCCTCTGGATCTGCCTCAATCAATCAATCAATCAATCAATCAGAATAGAGCTGGAAGGGACCTCAGAGGTCTTCTAGTCCAACCTCCTGCTCAAGCAGGGGACCCTAGACCAGTGTTTCTCAACCTTGGAAGCTTGAAGATGGGTGGGGGATTCTGGGAGTTGAAGTCCACCCATCTTCAAGCTACCAAGGCTGAGAAACACTACTCTAGACAATTTCAGAGAAGTGATTTAGCGCTATCATGTATTGATACATGTCTCAATGTGCTTGTATGGTGAGCCCAGCAAAGTCACCATCGCTGGGACTCCCCACCTCCGTCCTGGGTCTCCTCCCAGGGTCCCCAGGCCTTGACGGTTGGCTGATAACCTGAGAATGGGCCTCACCGCCGCTCCTGAACTACGTCTGGATCTTGTCTCTCAGCCAGGAAACGTCCCTGCTGCTCGGGGTGGAGATGGAGCCTTCGGAGGGGAGGGAAGCAATTAGCTTGACTGGTTAATGGGAACCATGTGTGGGGGGAAGCAGAGCCTCCGAGGTGCCTCCGTCAGCCATCTCCCCCCCCCCCCGCCGCCCCCAGCGTGGGCGAGATCAGGCTTCCTGTATTTAATGCTCCCTGGCAATAAATCCTGCCCGCTCTTGTTTGGGTTGTCAGTCACACCGGACGTCCCCCCAAGTTTTCAAGGGTTGGAATGGATGGATGCATTTGCTCTGATCCGAGGGGAGCTGCGTCAGGCTGCGGGGGCAAAAGATGCAGAAGCAGCCAATTTTATTCCAAGTAAAAAATAAAATTGGTTGCAGGGAGTTCTCAGTTTACGACCGGTTGCTTTGAGGAGGGGGGAGGGTCCCTCTCTCTCTCTCTCTCTCTCTCTCTCTTCTATACCAGAGATAAACTCCTTGTATGTCTAATCACACTTGGCCAAATAAAGCTGTCCTGTCCTTTTTGTTCCATTCCGTCTCAAGCTTCCAAGGTTGAGAAACACTGGTCTAGGGTCTCCTGTTTGAGCAGAGGGTTGGACTAGAAGACCTCCAAGGTCCCTTCCAGCTCTATTCTGATTGATTGATTGATTGAGGCAGATCCAAAATCTGGAGAGACCTGATCCTCAAGTTATCCCAAGGAATCCCCTCTAAGCATCAGATGTGGGGCCATCCATCTTGGCCAGCCTTACTAAAACAAACCAAGATCATCTCTACTTGCCAACTTTTTTGGGGGGAGGCAGCCCCGAAGGGTGTGCTCTGCAGAACTGAGGCATGCAAGGCCAAGAACGTGCCCCTCCCCCAATAAACTAATATCAGGAGTAAAACCTCAAACCAGTGGAAACGGGCTCTTCCCTGGCCTAGGAATTTTGAGAACGGTAGTCCCCATCTGGCAACGATTGGCGAAGGAAACCCTGTGAATCAGCACTCCAAGCTGAGTGGTCGGGGTGATGGGGTGGGGTGGGCAGAGGAGGGGAGGGGAGGGAAGGGCTGCCGCTAACAGTTTGCCGATCCTGGTTTAGCAACTGGCAGAGAAACGCCAGATTTTGGAGAAGATCCCTTTCTGGGAAGAGACAGGCTGGCCTGGAAGACCTGTAGAAGAACCATCTGGGAAGAGATACTCACAGCTCTTGGCCGTGCATCTCCAATCCAACAGTCAGGTTGGATGGCCTGTTGAGGATGGGGTGTTTGTTCTGAAGGCCCAGCAGTGAACCAGAGGACTACAGGTGGCTGGAGGCTCCAGAGTGGAGCAGGATGGCCTCAGGGCCACCTCAAGTTGGGCTTTGATAAGACTATACTTGGAATACTTCATCCAGTTTTGGTCCCCAAACTATAAAACAGCTGTTGAGACGCTAGAAAGAGTGCAGAGAAGAGCAACCAAGAGGATGAGGGGACTGGAGGCTAAAACATTCGGCGAACGGTTGCAGGAACTGGGCCTGGCCAATTTAGTGAAGAGAAGGACCAGGGGAGACATGATAGCAGTCTTCCAATAGCAATAGACTTACAAATACCACATCACAGTACTTTCCAGCCCCCCTCTAAGCGGTTTACAGAGTCAGCCTCTTGTCCCCAACAATCTGGGTCCTCATTTGACCCACCTCGGAAGGACGGAATGCTGAGTCAATCTTGAGCCGGTCGGGATCGAACTACTGGCAGACTGCAGAATTAGCCTGCAATGCTGCATTCTAACCAGGGGTGAAATCCAGCAGGTTCTGACAGTAGTGGAAATTTGGAGTAGTTTGGCGAACCAGCAAATACCACCTCTGGCTGGCCCCAGAGTGGGGTGGGAATGGAGATTTTGCAGTATCCATCCCCTGCCACGCCCACCAAGCCACGCCCACAGAACCGGTAGTAAAAAAATTTGGACTTCATCACTGATTCTAACCACTGCACCACCAGGGCTCTTAATACTTGAAGGGCTGCCCCAGAAAGGAGGAAGGGGGTCCAGCTATTTTCCAAGGCACCTGAAGGCCCGACAAGGAATAATGGATGGAAACAGATCAAGGAGAGATTCAACCTGGAAATAAGGAGAAATTTCATGGCAGTGAGAACAATCAACCAATGGAACAGAAGTTGCCTTCGGAAGTTGTGGAAGCTTCATCCCTGGAGGCTTTCAAGAAGAGACTGGACTGCCATCTGTTAGGAATGGTGCCAGGTCTCCTGCTTGGCGGGGGGGTTGGACTAGATGACCTCCAAGATCCCTTCCAACTCTGTTATTCTGTATTTGTATCAGCAGCAGTGAGGGCTTGGTTGGGTTGAGCCTCAGCCAACAAGGAAGACAACCACACCCAAGCTGTGAGTAGACAATAGCACTCCAGGCAAGGTCAGTCATGTCTGGGTGACGGCTTCAGCCCTTCCTGTCCCGAAGAAGCTGGAAAAGCTCAACGAGCCCTGCAGGAGTTCTGGAGGAGTTGGCTGCAAGGCCAGCCAGACGAGGCGGAAGAACAAGAGGAGGGAAGCAAACTCCAGGCTGGGTTGGAGCAATTGTCTGGCAGGGGCCACCTGAGCATTCAGCCTTGGGAAGAGTCGGTAGCTTTCTCCCTGTCTATGAGACGGGAAGGATGGAGGGAAGGATGAAGGGGTGGTGGATGGATGGAGGGATGGATGGAGGGATGGAGAGATGGATATTGGATGGAGGGATGCATGATGGATGGATGGGTGGAACTGTTCTGATGGGCTTCCTTACAAATTAAACAGCACAAACTTAGTCCCAGCAAACTTCATTTATTTATACAACTGTAAATTACTTTCATTTACAGTCCCTAAGGCTTGATAAACAGTCGTTCAGAGGAAGGTTATCAACACCCACCCATCTCACGTGGAACGCTGCCAGAGAGCTAATTTCCAGACTCAGGGCAAGGCCAAACTTGGCACAGAGTCACAAACAGAAGTTTCAAATCTTGAATCGGCCAAATGAAATGTGAGCTTCCTGCAAAAGCTCACGTCCCATTCGCTTCTCTTTTATGTCTTATGGGAGGGGCCAATCACCTCCAAGCCTTACTCCCAAGTCGACCCTGTTTCCTTAATTGTTCTTGTCGTCTGGCAGCTCTGTGCATGCAGAGGAACAGACGGAACAGGCTTCAGCTGTTCTTCTTCCTCACTGATGTCAGACTCCGGAGACTCCAGAGGCAACAAAGAACTACCAGATGGCCTTGGCCCCCTCTCTGCCTCCGACTCAGAGCCATCGTCCGAGCCTTCCCCAGACTCCAGGACTGGCCCACGTTCCTCCCCAACCTCCTCTCTGTCTGAATCTGCTGCCAGGTCTGCTGGCCGCTAGCGGGCCACAACAGGATAGCAATAGCAATAGACTTATATTTCTTTACAGAAATACTTCTTTATACTTCTTCACAGTGCTTTTACAGCCCTCTCTAAGCAGTTTACAGAGTCAGCCTCTTTCCCCCAACAATCTGGGTCCTCATTTTACCCACCTCAGAGGAAGGCTGAGTCAACCTTGAGCCGGTGAGATTTGAACTGCCGAACTGCAGCTAGCAGTGGATGATGGAGGGTTGCTGGCTGGCTGGCTGGCTGCCTGGAAGGATGGATGGTGGAGGAAGGGAAGGAGGGAAGGAGAGAGAGATGACAGATGGTGGCTAGATGGAGGGATGGATGGAGGGATCATGGATGGATGGAGAGAGAGAGAGAGAGAGACAGAGATGTGGATGAATGAGGAGATGATAGATAGATAGATAGATAGATAGATAGATAGATAGATAGATAGATAGATAGATAGATAGATAGATAGATAGATATGGATGGATGGATCCCTCTGATCTTCTAGGAGACCTTCACTCTTTGTAGGGTGTTGGCCATCATCTGGAAGATGATGCCATTGTTGCAGAATTTGGCCTCTTCTGCACTTTCCTGCGACAATCTTGGTGGCCAGAGCAGCATCCCAACTCCCTTCCCAGGAAGCCCCCAACCCTGAGTCCAGTATTCTCTGAGAGACCCTCACCATGTGCCCCCTCCAGGATCAAAGCTGGGGCATTGCGTGTTTCCTTACCGATTTTCAGCGTGTGGATGGTGGGAACCGCAAGGGTTGACATCTTCACATCACTCTCGTGCCTAAAAAACAGAGAGAACATCTCAATCGGGATAGAGCTGGAAGGGACCTTGGAGGTCTTCTAGTCCAACCCCCTCTTGCCCAGTCTCTTCTTAAAATCCTTCAGTGATGAAGCACCCACAACTTCTGGTGGCAGGTTGTTCCACTGGTTAATTGTCCCCACTGTCAGGAAGTTTGTTAAGTAAGTTTTGCCCGGTTTTACGACCTTTTTTGCCACAGTTGTTAAGTGAGTCACCGCAGTTGCTAAGTTACATGGTTGTTAAGTGAGTCTGGATTCCCTCCTTGACTTTGCTTGTCAGGAGACAAAAAGGGGAATCACATGACCCCCAATATGGCTGGGGAATTCTGGGAGTTGAAGTCCAGGAATCTTTTGAGGAAAAACACTGATTTAAATCCCTGGGGATTTTTGCTTTTATTATTTTTTTTAAAAAGTTTTTTATTTTGAATACATTAAGACAAGACACAAACACACATTTATATACATATCACTTTTTCCTACAGCTATTTCAAAGTGATCCTTTCTTGCTATTTACATCTATTTACACATAATTTAACTTTGTCTTATTCAACCATTATTTTCCAACTTTCTTTATTTCGTCTATATTGTACCTTGATCTTCAACAGAGAGGGGGATTTTTGCTTTTAAAGGGAAACGAAAGGTTTGCTGCTTTGGTTCCTTATAGAATAACCAAGAAAAATATCCTAAAAATGGATTGACACCGAAGACGTGACTGCACGTGTGAAACGAAGCCAGATATTTAAACGCAACTTTCTATATTTCTGCTGCAACCTGATCTCTTCGATCAGCTGCTTCCCTGCTATTTTAATCTCTGCAGGTGTCATTTTTTTGCCCCCCTTTGCTTTGATATCTGTTTTTAGCTGCTTCTCCTAGGGGAGGCTCCAGAACAGCTATTTTCGACCACAAACACAATTCTGGAGATAATAATTGCGCAAATATTTTGATGGTATCTATGGGTTACCTCCCTCATCTATCATTTTCCGTGCATGGAACAAGGGGATGGGGGGGTGGAAATAGAATATTTGTTGGCTATTTGTATTTTTGGCAGGCAGGGATTCTAAATGGCATTTGGATAAAAGTTGCTTTAGAGGTCTTCAAACTTGGCAGCTTTAAGACTTGTGGACTTCAACTCCCAGAATGTCTAGTTTGACGAAAAGAAGGACCAGGGGAGACATGATAGCAGTCTTCCAATATTTGAGGGGCTGCCCCAAAGAGGAGGGGGTCAAGCTATTCTCCAAAGCACCTGAAGGCAGGACAAGAAGCAACGGATGGAAACTCATCAAGGAGAGAAGCAACCTGGAACTGAGGAGGGATTTCCTGACAGTGAGAACAATCAGTGGAACAACTTGCCACTAGAAGTTGTGAATGCTCCAACACTGGAGGTTTTTAAGAAGAGATTGGACAGCCGCTTGTCTGAAATGGTAGAGGGTTTCCTGCCTAAGCAGGGGGTTGGACTAGAAGACCTCCAAGGTCCCTTCCAACTCTCGTTATTCTATTCTATTCTATTCTATTCTATTCTATTCTATTCTATTCTATTCCATTCCATTCCATTCCATTCCATTCCATTCTCGCTTTTCTATTCTATTCTATTCTTAGTGCAGGAGAAACCAAAGCAAGCTCCTGTCCTTATAATCCACTGATCTTTCTCATTTTCCCAGGATTGGGCAAAAGAAAAAAAAAAGCATAAAACTCATTAATTAAGAGCAGCTTTCATCAGGGACCCCGAGAAGCTGCCTAAAACTTCACAGAAGCTCAACTATTGCGATGAATGTGCCAAGGAGCAGCTGTTGCATTGCACAGCTGGGGAAACCAAGTCACACCTTCTTTGAAGTCAGGCGGCTCCTACCTCGGGAAACCCAGAGAGGAAAAACCCTCTATGAAATCCAGATTTTTCCGGCGCACAGTTTCCATAATTAAGCCACCCTCTGAATAAAGAGGCAGGAAGGGCCGGGCGGGAAATGAGAGCCGACACCAGGACAGCCAAAATGGCAGGAACTGATGAAAGAAGAACAGGGCAGAATAACAGCGTGGGAAGGGACCTGGGAGGTCTTCTAGACCAACCCGCTGCTCGAGCAGGAGAATTTTGACCATTCGGGACAAATGACTGAGAAGAGACTGGAAGAGATTAAGAAGAAATTGGTCCAGCATTTATCCAGAATGGGATGGAGATTCCTGCTTGAGTAGGAGGTTGGACTAGAAGACCTCCAAGGTTCCTTCTCAATTGGGTTATTCTACCCAATCTCTTCTTAAAAACCTTCAGTGATGGAGCACCCAGAACTTCTGGTGGCAAGCAGTTCCACTGGTTAATTGTTCTCACTGTCAGGAAATTCCTCCTTAATTCCAGGTTTCTTCTCTCCTGGATTAGTTTCCATCCATTGCTTCTTCTCCTGCCTTCAGGTGCTTTGGGGAATAATTTGACCCCCTCTTGTTATTCTATTCTGTTCTGTTCTGTTCTGTTCTGTTCTATTCGGTTTTCTGTTCTACTCTACTCTACTCTACTCTACTCTACTCTACTCTACTCTACTCCTACTCTACTCTACTCACTCTACACTCTACTCTACTTCTACTCTACTCTACTCTACTCTACTCTACTCTACTCTACTCTACTCACTCTACTTACTCCACTCCACTCCCACCACTCCACTCCACTCACTCACTCCACTCCACTCCACTCCACTCCACTCCATTCCATTCCATTCCATATTTTCTATTCTATTCTATTCTATTCTATTCTATTCTATTCTATTCTATTCTATTCTATTCTATTATTCTATTCTATTCTATTCTATTCCATTCCATTCCATTCCATTCCATATTTTCTATTCTATTCTATTCTATTCCATTCCATTTTTCTATTCTATTCTATTCTATTCTATTCTATTCTATTCTATTCTATTCTATTCTATTCTATTCTATTCTATTCTATTCCATTCCATTCCATTCCATTCCATATTTTCTATTCTATTCTATTCTATTCTATTCTATTCTATTCTATTCTATTCTATTCTATTCTACTACTCTACTCTACTCTACTCTACTCTACTCTACTCTATCTACCTACCTACCTACCTACCTACTCCTGTCATGTCTCCCTAGTCCTCCTTTTAATCAAACTAGACACACCCTGTTCCTGCAGCCATTCTTCATATGTTTTAGCCACCAGTGCCATAATCATCTTTGTTGCTCTACTCTGCACTCTTTCTAGAGTCTCAGCATCTTTTTTTATATTGTGGTGACCGAAACTGTGTACAATATTCCAAGTGTGGCCTTACCAGGGCATTCTAAAGTGGTGCTAACCCTTCACGTGATCGTGCTTCTGTACCTCTACAAATAGCATCTAGTCAATGTCCATCTAGTTAAAGTCACCCACTCTGAAGCAAACATCTTCAGGTTGGGAAGCCTTTGCTTTAAAAAAATATATATGGTATCTTCTAATCCAGTGTTTCTCAACCTTGGTAGCTTGAAGATGGGTGGACTTCAACTCCCAGAATCCCCCAGCCAGCGCTGCTGGCTGGGGGATTCTGGGAGTTGAAGTCCACCCATCTTCAAGCTTCCAAGGTTGAGAAACACTGTTCTAACTCTTATCATCACTGGCAAAAGCTCTGGCGACTGAATTAGCTGTCCTCCGTTCAATTATCTATTGTGCAATCCCATCTCCCAGGGCCCAGAGGTGACTTTGAAAAACCCTAATTTAGAGAATGATGATCCAGAATTATTACAGGTAAATAATCCTTGACCTATGACCACAACTGGTTGCTAAGTGAGACGGTTGTTAAGTGAGTTTTGCCCCATTTTACGACCTTGCCAAGTGAATCACTGCCCGTTATTTAAGGAGCACGGTTTATGTCCATGGCAGATTCTCGGTCCTCCAGGTCCTGGTTGTCCCAAAGGTGCTTTTTCAAGAGGCAACTGGATTTTCTGGCTTTTTTCTTTGAAGACCTTTCGCTTCTCATCCAAGAAGCTTCTTCGGCTCTGACTGGATGAGGGTGGGGGGGGGAATGCAAGGAGCAGAGTTTTTAAGTGAATCTGCCTTCTCCGTTGACTTTGCTTGTCCAAAAGTCACAAAAGCATGACCCAGGGACACAGTGACCGTCATAAATATGAGCCACTTGCCAAGCATCTGGATTTCGAACAGGTGACCCTGGGGATGCTGTAACAATCATAAGAAAAAGAGCTCTGGTGGCTCAGCAGACTAATTAACATCCACTTACATCTGCTGCCTGCAATTACTGCAAGTTCGAATCTCACCAGGCTCAAGGTTGACTCAGCCTTCCATCCTTTCTAAGGTAGGTAAAATGAGGACCCAGTTTGTGGGGGCAATAAGCTGACTTTGTAAAAATATACAAAAGTAGGAAGGCTATTGCTTAACGCATTGTAAGCCGCCCTGAGTCTCCGGAGAAGGGGGGCATATAAATCAATTTTTTTTTAAAAAGTGTGAAGAGCAGTCATACGTCCCCTTTTTCAGTGCCGTTCCAACTTACAACGGTCATTAAATGGAGTGTTGGAAGTCTTGCATTTCTCCCAAGCTCTGCGTCTCTTTAATTGCCGCCTTCGTGGTCCTCCTCCCTCGATTCCTCCTTAAATCAGTTAATTGGATTTTTCTAATTACTCATCCTCCCCAGCGGTCTTGTCTTACCTACGTGCAAATTACACACCAATTATCTATGTGCAAATTGACCCCAATTGCCTCATTTGCACACTTCAGAGGATCACACAAGGGATTGCAAATCCAGTGTGCACTAATTTGCCAATTTACAGGTGGGACAGTTCATTGAGTGACCCTCCAAAGTTACAGCCGCACTGAAAAAGCGACGACAATAACCGTTTTTCACACTTCCGACTGTCACGCCAGCCCCATAATCGTGCGATCAAAATTGGGACAATCGACCGCTGAGTCATATTTACGATGGCTGTCGTCCCCCCGGGGATCACCCGTGATCCCCTTTTGCGACCTTGGGTGGGCGAGCAAAGTCAACGGGGAAACCAGACTCACTCAACAACAAGTGTGACTAATTTAACGACCGCAGGGATCCACTTAACAACTTGGGCAAGGAAGGTCGTCACGCGGATCACAAACTCACTTCACGACGGTCTCGCTTAGGGGCAGAAATTTTGGGCTCAGTGGAGGCCGTAAGACAAGGTCATAACTTCACATACACACACACACACACACACACACACACACAAACACACACACACAAACACACACATTGGCCTTGCAGTTTTCAGCTTACAATAAAGCAGTGTTTCTCAACCTTGAAAGCTTGAAGATGGGTGGACTTTAACTCCCAGAATCCCCCAGCCAGCGCTGCTGGCTGGGGGTTTCTGGGAGTTGAAGTCCACCCATCTTCAAGCTTCCAAGGTTGAGAAACACTGCAATAAAGGGAGGGAGATGGAGCCCTGCCCCAAGTGTGCAATCCCCCCACTGTCCTTCTCTTCCAGTTTTCTTCCTCCCACCTCTGGCCTTACAGCTGCTTCTCCCACACGTCTGCTGACCAAAGCATTTGACACTTGGTGATGTCAAGGGGCACAAATAGCCAAGCCCCTTTTGTGTTTTCGGCCTGTCCGATCAAAGAACTGCTGCGGAAGAAGGAAAGGTAGAGGAGTTTAAACCCCATGGTGAATCCACCCTCCTCTTCCTCACCCCTCACCCAGGAGAGGACCCCACGCTCTTGAATTGGAGGACTTTCCCTTCGGGATCATTTCTTTCTGTAGCAAATTTTCCACCTCCAGTAAAGCTTGTTTCTTTTTTTTTTGTCTTTTTCCCACGCATCTTGCAACTGCTCTGGGAAACTGTGGCTGGGCAGCCGATAAGGTTTGGCAACAAGGAGCAGGCAGCTCCGTTGCTGTGTCAATTTCTTTGACGAGCAAAACAAGAGAAGCCCTGCCCAATAGCCCTCGGACTTATCTACCACTTCAGAGTGCTGCCAAGCCCTCTCTAAGGAGTTTTACGGAGTCGGCCTCTTGCTCCCAACAATCCAGGTCCTCATTTGACCGACCTCGGAAGGACGGAAGGCTGAGTCCACTTTGAGCCGGTCAGGATCGAACGGCTGGCAATGGGCAGAGTTTTGCCTGCAATGCTGCATTCTAAACACTGCGCCACCAGGGCTCATCTACTATCAAATAGATGAGAGAGATGATAGGAGAAATGATAATGATAGATGATAGATATAGATAGATAGATAGATAGGTAGGTAGGTAGATAGATAGATAGATAGATAGACAGACAGACAGACAGACACAGACAGACATATGATAGAGAGAGAAGGAAGGAAGGAAGGAAGGAAGGAAGGAAGGAAGGAAGGAAGGAAGGAAGGAAGGAAGAAGGAAAGGGAGAAAGGAAGGAAGGAAAGGGAAAAGAGGGAAGGAAGGATGGAAAGAAAGAGAGTGAGAAGGAGAGAGAGAAAGAAAAAAGAAAGAAGAAAGAGAGAGAGAGAAAGAAAGAAAGAAAGAGTGTGTGTGAGAGAGGGAAGGAAGGAAGGAAAGAAATAGAGAGGGGGAAGAGAGAAAGAAAAAGGAAAGAAGAAAGAGAGAGAGGGAAGGAAGGAAGAAAGAAAAGAAAGAGGAAGGAGAGGAAGGAAGAAGGAAGGAGAGAAAGAAGGAAAGGGAGAAAGAGGGAAGGAAGGAAGGATGGAAAGAGAGAGAGTGAGGAGAGAGAGAAAGAAAAAAGAAAGAAGAAAGAGAGAAAGAAAGAGTGTGTGAGAGAGAGGGAAGGAAGGAAGGAAAGAAAGAGAGAGGGGAAGAGAGAGAAAGAAAAAGGAAAGAAGAAAGAGAGAGGGAAAGGAAGAAGGAAGGAAGAAAGAAAGAAAGAAAGAAAGAAAGAAAGAAAGAAAGAAAGAAAGAAAGAAAGAAAGAAAGAAAGAAAGAAAGAAAGAAAGAAAGAAAGAAAGAAAGGGTGGCTATTCCTTGGCCCTCACAGCTCCCCTTACCATCAGAGTAGCCCAGGGCTTGTTGATCTTACTCTTTGTCAACACGCAGGGCAGCCGATGGCATCCGTGACACTCGATATGCCTTACAAATCGGGCCCAGGCGGCATCTGCAGGGTTTCATGCATTGGGATCTAACTGCTTCCCTGCTAAATGGAGAATGCACTGAAATGGCAGAAGCCCCCCCTGCCCTCCCCCAAAATAACCACCCAAAAACAAACGAAGGGGAGGAAAAAAGCCCCCAGGATTCACGTTTTGAGGACCCCAAGCTGGCAAAGGGGCGTCATGTCCAGTGGTGTCTCTTGTGCCAACTTTTTCGCAGGCTAACTCAATGTGGTTTAATAAAGCCGATTTTTAACTTTCTTTCTGGATCTCCCTTGAGTTCCTCCTGGAACGGAGACTGAGGTCCCTCACGGCCAAGAAGCCCCTGACCCCCGTCTTTCCCCAGTGAGGATGGCAGAGGCCAAGTCCTCCCAGTCTGCTTCCCAACTGGTAGAGCTCTCACCAAAGAACCGGACTTACTACGGGTTTCCGTAGCATTCCTGCCTTTGAAACAGCTGGAGGCTGGCAGGAATTCAGCTGGAGATGTTTCCTCCAGGACAGAGATTACAACAGTCAGGAACTCGGAGGCCCAAAGTGGGGGACCCTTCCCCAAAAGGGTCCAAAAGAGTCCAACCGTCTCTTTGCAAACCTGCGATTCCACCCCCATTTCCATTATTGGGGCTCCTTTCCTTTCCAGAGCTGGTTGTGGAATTGCAGAAGTTGGAGGGCAGCCCAGGTGGGGCAGGAAGCACTGAACTGGGGCCAAGTCCCAGCCCAGAAACCATCTCCCACTTTCTCCATGCCTGGGAAAATCCCTGATACCTGGAATGATCCACATCTGGTTTGGAAGTCCACCTGAACTTCTCCAGAGGTTCTGTTCCTGTTGCCTTCTCTCCCCCTGACTGAGTCTGGGGACTATCCTGGACGTATTTATGGATCCTTTTTATGACCTCCTCACAAGGTAGCCCCCTTCCCCCCAAGATGAAAGCGGTCAAGTGTCCAAGCGCTCCAGGGATCTCCAGCGAGAGAGCATCCACCAAGCTCTCTCATTTCCAAGAGGAGGACCTCCTCTCTGGAGGCCAACAACCCGCCGACCACCCTGGGTGCAGAAAGACAAAAGAGGAGAGGGGCCAGCCTAGCCATACCACCTTCTCAAGCCCCCTCCCATTCCTTCCTGTCTTCCTCCTTTATCGGGCAAACGGACACTGGGGGACCTCCAGAAGACCGGATTCTTGGCCCCTTCCTGGTCAAGAAAGTTCTCCACAAGTCCAAACCAGAAGAGGCCAGTTGGGGCAAGAGAGCAGACCCCTGGCAGCAGAAGCCCCCTCCTCACACCCTCTTACCTTGTCCACGGAGGGACCCTCGGTGGAGTCTCTTCTACTCCGTAGCTACTCAACCTCCAGTTTCCCCCCACCCCTCCTTTCTCTCTCGGCTCTTCCTCCAGCTTGTCTCTCCTCCCACCCTTTATCCCAGCCCAGCCCAACTCTTGGCTGCCTTTCAAGTCCCAGCTGCAGATGTGCAAAGGGGGAGGAGGGCTGTCCTGCCATCCACTCCTCCTGGGGGGGTGGGGGGGGTGCTCTAACAGAAACTCGCCTGGACGGGCCAGAAGAAACTCGCAAGGATGCCCCCCTCCCCTCCCCCCCTCCATCCTCCCCCCCTCCATCCTCCGAATGCAGGGAGGTCCTCCAACACCCCCACTCCAGATTCCTTTGCAGGAATGTTCAGGATGCAGATGGCAACGTGGGGGAGGCCTGGGGAGGCTGTGCTAAAGCAATCAGAATAGCACGGGAAGGGACCTTGGAGGTCCTCTAGTCCAACCCCCTGCTCAAGCAGGAGACCTGGCCTGTACCATTCCAGACAAGCAGCTGTCCAGTTTCTTCCTAAAAGCCTCCAGTGAGGGAGCACCCACAACTTCTGGTGGCAAGTAGTTCCACTGCTTAATTGTTTCTCACTGTCAGGAAATTTTTCCTTAGTTCTAGGTTGCTTCTCTCCTTGACTAGTTTCCATTCAATGCTGCTTCTTCCGCCTTCAGGTGCTTTGGAGAATAGCTTGACTCAGTGGTGAAATGTAAAATTTGTTACTACCGGTTCTGTGGGCGTGGCTTAGTGGTGGTGGGGGGTAATATGACTGAGTGAGTGGGCGTGGCCAACTTTTTTTTTTTTTTAACTTTTAAAACCATTTTTTTCTACAACCTCTTCGGCTGAAGAGGTTGTTTAAAAATGCTTTTAAAAGCCTCTGATGATCCCAGCTGACTTGCCTGATCGTCAGAGGCTTTCTTTCTTTTTTTTTTTAAAGCCTCTGATGATCCCAGCTGAGCCGCGCAATCATCAGAGGCTTTTTTTTTTTTTACTTTTAAAAGCATTTTTCTGGCCGAAGAGGTTGTAGAAAAAATGCTTTTAAAAAATAAAAAAAAAAGCCTCTGATGATTGCGTGGCTCAGCTGGGCAATGGGGTGGAGGGCAGGGATTTTTGCTACCAGTTCTCCGAACCACCCGCCTCCATCGCTACCGGATCAGGCGATCCGGTCCGAACCGGGAGCATTTCACCCTGGCTTGACTCCCCTCTTCTTTATGGCAGCCCCTCAAATATTGGAAGCCTGCTCCCATGTCACTCCTAGTCTTGTCTTCTGAACTTTCAGAATAATACACTGAATACAGAAGAATCACAGAGTCGGAATGGACCTTGGAGGTCTTCTAGTCCAACCCCCTGTTCAAGCAGAGACCCTCTACTATCCCAGACAAATGTTGTCCAGTCTCTTTTTAAAAACTTCCAGTGAAGACTGCTATCATGTCCCTACTAGTCCTCCTTTTCCCTAGACTGGCCAAATCTAAATCCTGCAACTGTTCTTCGTTCTGAAGAAGTTGAGTTCTGAAGAAGAACTGAAGAAGCTTCTGGGATGAGAAGCGAAATGTTTTCAAGGGGAAAAAAACCCCCAGGAAGTCCAGCTGCCTTTTGGAAAAAGAACCTTTGGGACAGCCGTAACCTGGAAGGTGGAGAACCTCCATAGCCATCAGGACAGACAATTTCACCCCTACTTGTGGGATACCCCACCCTTCTGGGCCTTAAGGCCTTCCAGAACTATCCTGAGAGCTGACCTTCCTGCTCGCACCACCGTCCGGCCAGCGCCAAAGGCCAGCGCCCTGGAGTCTATGGCAACTCGCCACGGCCAATGTGCCACAGGACAAGAGTTACACTAATATCAAAGAAAGGATGGAATAGAATCATGAAAGAAAGAATGCAAAAGGAGGATAAGATGTTGTCTTCATCTTCATTTTATATATATTTTAATTGTTTTTTAATATTTGTATTTCATGTTCTTAATTCTGGCTGTACACCGCCCTGAGTCCTCAGGGAGAAGGGCGGTATAGAAATTGGAAATAAATAAAATTTAACGACCCCATAAGCACGGTGGAGCCTGGGCAACTGAATGGAGCTCGCAGAGGGTTTTAATGACCGGATGCCCTTCCTGTCGCCAATGCGGAGTTTTGTTCAGCAGATCTATTCTCAGTGTGCCCAGAGAGTGAAAAATACCTGCCTCTACCTAGGATCGAACTCACAGCCTCCTGATTGTGAGGCGAGAGCTCTGCCGCTAGGCCACCGGACCACTCCAGGAACAGCATCACATGTCAATGGCAAAAATTAAAATATTTTTTAAATTTTATTTTAAGTAATGAAATAGAATGGTTACTTTGTCCCGTGGCGAGTTGACCGCGGAGAGTTGTCCCATTCCCATCACCCTGGGCATGGTCTCCATCTCCCCCCTCCCCTCGCTCTACGGCCCTCGGTCAGCCCAGGGTTGCATTGATTTTGGCTTCTGCCCCAGGACTCATTTTGTGAAAGTCCAGGCTGGATCCGCCCTGCTCGGGAAGGGACGTCTGGCTTCCTGCCTCACAATAGCCTGGATGTTTTTAGCAGAGCTAGAATAAATAACTTGAAGTGGACCCGGGCATTGTTAATGTCGCCGCCGGGTGAGAGGTGTGGTCCCCTTCGGCCCTCCCAGACTTCCTCTGGCTCACAAATGCCCCCACCAGCTGATGGGGAGGGGGGGGGCTTTTCACTCTTGGTTCTTGGTTCTAGAAGCAACCTAGAATGAAGGCTCAGAAATTTCCTGAATGTGAGGACGGTTAACAGCTTCCCAACAGTGTGTTTTTTTTTTCAAGAGGCAACTGCACTTTCTTGGTTTTTCTTTGAAGATGTTTCGCTTCTCTTCCAAAAAGCTTCTTCGGCTCCTTCCCTTTCCCACCATCCGGTCAGAGCTGGAGAAGCTTCTTGGAGGAGAAGCGAAACGTCTTCAACGAAAAACCAGAAAGTCCAGTGGCCTCTTGAAAAAAAAAACACCTTTGGGACAACTGTGACCTGGATGACGGAGAATCTCCATAGACAGTGGAACAGCTTGCCACCAGAAGTCGTGGATGCTCCATCACTGGAGGTGCTTAAGAAGAGACTGGACAGCCACTTGTCTGACATAGTAGAAGGTCTCCTGTTTGGGCAGGGGGTTGGACTAGAAGACCTCCAAGGTCCCCCCAAATTCTGTTTTTGTTATTCCGACTCTACCTATCCTTCCTCTCTCTATTTGGGGACTTCATTCTTTGCTATCTGTTCATTCGTATCCCCTAAAAATATATAATTTTTTCCAGAATGAGTCAGATCCTGACAGTGGCCACCCAGATACCTCCCCAAAGGAACTGTGCAAACAAGAGAAATTGGCAACAGGCATTCTCAGTGTGTTTAACATTTTTATTGGGTAATAAGAATAGAATAGAATAGAATAGAATAGAATAGAATAGAATAGAATAGAATAGAATAGAATAGAATAGAATAGAATAGAATAGAATAAATAGAATAAATAAATAAATAGAAAATATTAATGAATGGAATGGAATGGAATGGAATAGAATAGAATAGAATTAATAGAGAAGAGAAAGAAGAGAAAGTAGTAGATAGAGTAGAGTAAATAGAATAGAATAGAATAGAATAGAATAGAATAGAATAGAATAGAAAAGAAAAGAAAATAGGAAAGTAAATAGGAAAATGGTGAGGAGGAAGAGGGGGAAGAGAAGTGAGGGAAGAAGTGACTTCCAATTCTCTCTGTTGCAGTAAAATAAGGCATTAACATCAAATCACAACTTTTTGTTTTTTCATAATAATATGAACAAGCCAAATAATATGAACAAGCTATCAGTCTAATCGGTAAAACCCCAAATCAAAATTTCATTCTTTTCCACTTTGAGCACGAAGTTCAGAAGCTTTGTCTCCATGTGGAAACAAAAGGACTTGTGTTCTTTGCTTTAATCAAAACAGTCAGTTTTGCCATTCCAGCCCCAACGCCATCGGCTTCTGCAGCCCTTCTCACATGCCGTGTCGCCCCGGGATTTTGGATGCTGGAAGGCGGAAGCATTTGCACATGGAAACCATTCCGCCTTCTTCCCCCAAAGGTTGACTGGAGCATCTGGCCAAGCAGAGATTCCTCTTCCTCTCTGCGGACCCACCGTCGGCCCCAGGACTTGGCGAGGCCGTGAGTGGATCCAGTCTGATCCAGCCCACGGAATTTGGGGGAGGCGAAGAGACCTTGGGAGTTGGGGAAAGTGCAGGGGGTTCCTTCCTGAGCACAGGCCCCCTTTTCTTCCACACCACACTGGCACTTGAAAGCGGGAGGGAGGGAGGGAGGGAGGAAGGAAAGAAGAAGCAAGAAAAGGAGGGAGGGAGGGAGGGAGGGAGGGAGGAAGGAAGGAAGGAAGGAAGGAAGGAAGGAAGGAAGGAAGAAGCAAGAAAAGGAGGGAGGGAGGAAAAAGAAAAGGAGAGGGAGGATGGATGGATGGATGGATGGATGGATGGATGGATGGATGGAAGGGAGGGAAGGAAGGAGTGGAGAGAGGGAGGAATCAAAGAGGAAGGAAGGAAGGGAGAATGAGGGAGGGAGGGAGGAAGAAAGGAGCAAGAAAAGGAGAAGAAGAAAGGAGGGAGGGAGAAACAAGAAATGGAGGGAGGGAGAAGAGAGGGAAGGAAGGAAGGAAGGAAGGGGAAAGAGC